AACATTTTAACTCAGCTAATCAGGACTGTGTGGGTGTGGTTGAATCAGATTTTTTTGACAGTGACCAAACCACCCACCAATTGTCATCTGATTCTGAATTAAATGTTTCTAAATACTGATTGGTGCACAGAACATGTGCTATTACGCTGGGAAGAGCAGAAAAAAGTTAAATAATATGAATTGTTCTAAAACACAGAAAATGCTGTGTTTACGTAGGATCCCATCACTCATAGTAAGAAGCTAGGCCTTCAGTCTTCATAGCAACAGTGGTTCATGCCATAAAACACTTGGAACATTGTCTGAAAATACTTTCAATGGAGCGTATGATGCGTATCTTCTGAAAGTGATTATTAACTTATCGCTCAGTTCTTCTCGTGTGTGTCCAGATGCCTTCGCTTCGGTTTCAGCATCTTCCACATTTTGTGTCTATGTGTGAAAGTTGTGTAAATCTGTCAAGGTTTGTACGAGTGAGGAGATGTGACTGTCCAGGTCTGTATGTGTATGTGTTAACAGGTGGGGGTGTGTGTGTGTGTGTGTTTAGCTGACCTTGGTTGCCCCGCTCCCTCGGGGAGGAACTGAAGTTTCTCACTCTGCTTGTCAACAAGATTAGTTCCCCTGTGGGACCATTACACACCCTGCAAACATGCTGCCAATGAGAAGAAGTGTGCGACAGCTCGGCCCTTCCACGAACCCAGTGGAGTGTGTGTGAGCGTTGTTTTGTGGCGTGTGTGTGCTGCGATTGAGGGGTTAAGGGAGTCAGAGAGGATGTGTGTTTTAGAGCAGAAACAGAAGGGAAAAACAGCAGGGGGATCAGCGCAGCCAGCCTGAACTGTTGCCTATGCATGTGTGATATGTGTGTACGCATGTGTGTACGTGTGCCTGGTTTTTGAGTGAGCCCATGCTGAGCTCTGAGCTGTGCTTACTCCTAGACCTGGCTCATCTGCATCCGTCTCCCCCACTCCCTCCCTTTCTTTTATTCCCACTTTTACCAGCATTGCTTGTCCTCTCTGTCTCTTTACCGTTGTCTTTTAGTCGCGGATACTTTTATGCGGCTTTAGTTGCACATTTCTATCTAGCTGCCTGTTGGACTCCAGCTGGGAACAAAGCAAACAGAGGTGATAGCAGGACGTTAATGTATTTCAGGTAGCTCATCGCTATCACTGTTTACTCTTCATCTGTGGGGGTGGAGCTTATAAATCTTATTCTTTCTATTATAGCCACCACATATAATTCTTAAAGCTGCACAAATTATTTTTTTATACACAACATGTCAAATAACTGTGTGTGATACGAAAGGTCTTGCAGTCTCGTATTGAAGAACCCACAGAGAATAATCACCTGACTCGGCAGTTCTTCTCAGCTCTAAGGTGCTTTTTAGCGTATTTCAGCTCATTGTTTTGGTTTTAAGGCCCACCACATTGCGGTTTTGGTTCAGTTTCATTTCTTTCATCAGACTCATTTCCAGGCAGCTGTTTTCAGCAAAAATCTCTGACAATATACTGTTCGCTATACCTGTCAAGCACCAAGTGTCAGACAGACAAATTTAATGATAAGCGGGTGAACATAGTGTAGCATCTAGTAGCACCTGGACAGATATTTCCCTCAGGAACTGGTGGATCCCAAAACAGGCTAAAAAGGAGATTGTGTATTGGACCAGAAACACAAATCCATATGTATGCTATTGCTGCTCTGGGTCTGTTTGCTAACACATACACAACCATAACAGCTTCTTAAGGAGATAATAAAATAATATGCATGACCAAGAATTTAAAGACTGGGAAACTACTGCTAGGGATGAACACAAAGTTACAAAATTATACTTAGCGACGTGTCCTTATATTCAAAATAGCTTCTTCTAAATAAGTTTCAGTCCTAGTTAGACTAAAAACTGACACAAAGAAACTTCATTAGGTCTAATTAAGATTCAGAGAAAAACTGCTCTCTCAACACTGCACTGTCAGTCCAGAAACCATGGTTCCAAAATAAGGGCAGGGGACAGAGAGAAACCTGACTACTGACTTGTTGTACATATGTGGATTTTACAGTAACTTGCTAACAGTGCTAACAATGCCTCCGGTCTTTTTGCTAAGCTAGGCTAACCGCACACTGACAGTCATGAGACTGAAACAGTATTGATCTTCTCATCTCACTGCCGGAAAGAAAACCAATTTTATTTGTTTATTATTTGCCAAAATGCTGAACAAGAGGAGGGGAGATCTGAAGAGCTGTGAATGTAAACTGAAGATGATGAATGAATAAATAAATTACCGTCATAAGGTTTTATGGTCAGTATCGTGCAGCTGTAGTTTGGATGAACGAGCCTGCTGTCTAATGTGAGTGTGAGTTGAGGGAATAACAGTTCTCAGCAGCTGCTTCAAAGACCTATCCAGACACTTTTTTGCAGTCTGGCTGAGCACACATACACACACGCTCAGTGTAGATCAGCCCTCAGTCACGGCCCTGTGCTGCAGGGAGACTGGAGTGATGGAAGCAATAGTTAAGCCATTAAGGCAAACAATTGGCTCAAATTGAGAGGGAGAGAGAGAAAAGAAGAGGGAAAGAGGGAGGGAGATGGAGAGGCCATGACAGGAGTGGATCCACTCAACGACTTAATCCGAGCCCCAGGACACTCTCCTGCTGAGCTTCACACACTCGCACAAACATCTACACACACATACGCTAAAGCTCTGTCTGCTTGCAATAACACCTTGTCAGTCTTGGCCACAGGGGCGATGGAAGAGGCGCTCATTCCTTTGTAGTGGGGAGGAGAGTCACCTACTTCCAAACACCTCGGGAAAAGACAGAGCATGCAATCTACACAAGACAGTTCTGTAAGCGTTCGTACGCCTTATGGCTGCAAGTGTGAAGCTATTCATTGTCTTAGCAGGCGGAGTGAATGGTGGAGGGAGCACAGGGCGGACAGTGTCCTAGACAAGGGAGGCGCTCCTCTGACACCGGCTATTGTATCGTCTCACCCGTGGACTCGTTCAGTCCTCCCAGGCCTCACATAAACGCGCAACAATGAGGGATTGTCTCCAGCTATTCTTTCTGTTTCTGCTCTTTTGCTTTCACACACACATCAGCGCTGCGCGTGAGTCAGAGGGCAAAGGGATGATGTGCTGCAATCTGAACCCAGCGACCGCCAAGGCTCGTCCGATACAGTCGTCTCGCAGGAGTGGGACTCGCCGTTTATGTACCTTAAACATCAGCCAGTGATAGGGGCCGTAACTCCTCGCCACCGCCGCTGCCCTTCCCTCCCTTCCACCTTCCTTTCCCCCTTCAGCCGTCACCCTAGGGTCTCCCTCAGCGCGTGGCCCCCGCGATTTATCGGACAGCTTAGCGAGGAGTGGTTGTTGCCCCGAGGACTGTTAGCCCTGATTTGGCTCGTTGACTCCTTCTCCGGTTCTGGCGTTTTATTTGACATGTCCTTTAAGTCCTTTAAAGAATTGGGCGTTTCTGCTGAGCGCCTTGGCTCTTTCTGCAAAAGATGGATGGCCCGCGTTCAAAGGTCTGGATGTTTTTTCCCTCCTTCCCAGTTTCTCTCCATATCTCTCATTTCCCCTCCCTCCTTCCTTCCTTCTTTCTCTTTTCTCTCTTGCTGAGCTTTATACGGTGGTATTAGTGTTGACAGCTAACCAAGCTCAGGATTTGGCTTTGTTTTGTTTTTGCCTCTTAAGATAATGCTCTTTCTCTCTCCTGCCGAGAATAACAAAAGGGAAAGTAGAGCAATGAAACAGCACAGCCATTGACTTTGGTTTCATTAAATTTGTTTTCAGCCATCTTAAGTAGACCACAGGCCTTGATGGCAGTGATGTGTGTGTGTGTGTGTGTAGCCATTTACAAACCACAAAACAGTCACACTTTGCCTCATACTTGCTCGGGTGCCGTTGTCATCACTGTAGGATCTCGCTGTTTACTTGCCTTTATTCGTCCGGGGTAAAAAAATTTTAAAAAAGCAGCTGTAGCTGGAGTTAGCAATCCAAACATGTGACAGACGAGTGTGTTTTATGAAGATAAGTGTTGTAGCTCTGTAGTGAAAAGGGTGAAAGCACTTCACCTCTATTTCATATGCATACCAGATGTGGAAATATAGATCAATTGGCATGTAAGCGTCTGTGTCCTGTTAGAGGGCCTGGAGGTTAACTGTGCCGTTTCTGAACCCTAATCCCGCATACACAACCTCACATAAACACGCTGTATGCAGCACTCACTCATTCATGCATGCAAACATGCACAAACATTCACACAGGACAGCAGTCCTACATTCATAGTGTCTCTGCTCTTTGCTGTCCTGCTCTGCTGTCTGGAACTGCTGAGGCATCAGAGAGAATTTTAGTTTCAGTGTCCCTTTGATTGTCTAAAGGCTGTTTTAGAGACCACTGTGTTGGAGAGATTATTTAATTTATTTGACCTATATTTTCTATCCTGTCTAAAGGGAATGTTTTTACTCATTTGTTTAACTCACAGTATGTAATTCTATGTTTCTCTCTGTCTGGTGAAATATTGCTTTCTTTTATTTTGACAGAGGTTATGACCCCCCCCCCCTACTAATTGTCTCTGTCCAGTGAAAACTGTGCATCTCTGTCTTTTGGTGATTCGGTGGTTGAATTTTTCCAATGAACTAAAGAAATAAGTGTTCCAGACAATTTCAGAAATACTTTTAAAGATCTTTCAACCACTTTAAAAAAACGCTGAGAAATGCATTGTGACAAAGCTGAATACCAAAGCTGTTCTGTTTCTTACATTCTGAAAAGTTTACATTGTGGAGGTTTTCACAGCACAGTACTATAGTTCATGTTACTTTGGATGTGCTTTGTTTGATTTTACCTTGTACAAATAATTAAAGCATACAAAAAATCTTTGTAGAGATTAAGAAATTCAGAGCAAGCGGCACCTGATAATGAACCGTGACTGGACTGCGTCTAAAGCTATTGGTGTCTTTGGTATAAACATGGTGTATTTCTAAGCTCTTAATGTTCTGTACTTTGCTTCCTTAACAGTAACGGCACGGCCGGGAAGATGAACGGGGCGCTGGAGCATTCGGACCAGCCAGACCCGGATGCCATCAAGATGTTTGTGGGCCAGATCCCGCGCTCCTGGTCAGAGAAGGAGCTGAAGGAGCTGTTTGAGCCGTATGGAGCTGTCTACCAGATCAACATACTCCGAGACCGCAGCCAGAACCCTCCACAGAGCAAAGGTACACCAACACAGGACACACTCTGACGTTTTTTTTTCTTTTGCTCAAATTGTACATTTTACTTGACCGAACTAATCTGATGCCTGTAGGAGTTGCTTTGCAGATTTAGATTTTAATCTTTATTCTTCTTTCCTTTTCTTATTTTCTGACCCTTTCCTACTTTCTGCCCTCTTTTTTCTTTAGTTTACTTTACCCACTCTTCGTGCTTATTCCCTCTTTCTCTCCTCTTTGCCTGCATTTCTTTTCTTTCTCTTCTTCATTCTATCATTATTTTCTTACTTTATTGCCCTTTTCCTTCCTTTTCTCCTTCATTCTATCTTTTCATTCTTTCCGTCCTTTCTCTTTTCTAGTTAGCTTTCTTTCTTTTCTTCTTTCTTCCTTTCTTTCATCTGAAAGTATGAATCACTATTAATGCATACTTCAATTTCCACTTTATTGTTGCTACCTTAACTTAAGTAAGGGATTTGAATGGACACAGATACACAAATATATCAAGACATACTATCCATATTTATTATACAAACACACTTCCATGAAATCAGATACACTTACAGAAACACATACTCCATGTCCGCTCCTACACACACACAGCAGTCAGTGGCTGAGTGGGCCATCCCACCTATAATGGCAGAACAAACGATGCAAAATTACACAAGCAAACACACATTTCGTGCAACATTGGAAGACAAAGACTCGCCTAGCCAGACTTACACAGTCAATTGTGCAAAACCGCATGATTTGCAGCTATTTTCTCCCATTCCCTTTCTTTTTCCTTTGATGAATTCGTCAAGTGTGAAAGCAAACAATAGAGACAGCAGCAACGAACGAACAGACAATAGCGCTGCCATATTAACAGGCATCAACCGGAGTGGGGGGCTGATGACATTCCTGATGAGACATGGAGAGTGGGAGGAAAGTAAAGAGAGAGGAAGAGAAAAAGAGGACGTCAAGAAGGGAGACGTGGCACTTCCGTCCAACTGTAAAGCAAATTTCAAGAGAAGTTCGCAAGAAACACTTTATGAATAAGTGTGGATGAAGTGAATAATGCAAGTGCACAAGAAAAATGGAAGTGAATTAAGAATGTGCAGTTCAGTTCAGTTGTGACACATGTTTTGAAACACCCTGTGATGATTTAATGTAGCAGCGAACAGTCATAAATCCACATAATGAAATCCTATGTTCTACAAAATACATTTAAATACTGCTTATTTGCTTTGTCGGATACATTTTGGAGGAAATGTAATTAGTGCCTGGTTTACATTTGCTGGCAATGTTGTTTCCAAACTGTGGAATGTGACAGTCTTATATTGCACAAACGTGAGGGAGGTCTTGATGAAGGGTTGGCCATACAGAGCTCAGCTCCTTGACACCGTATACCATGGTTCATGTTTCACATGTCGTTTTCTTAGGCTGACAAAAAACTTATATATTGGGGGTTTGGTTAAATATCTTTTCCTAACCTTGACCAACTAAGTTGCCTTAAAAATGCAATGAAATGCTAGAAATTGGTAGTTTTTACATACTTAAATTTGAAAAACATAACAATACCACACCGCTGCTGCTGGCCAATGCATGCACATGAGCATGACTGACTGATGTATTGATTTAAATACTTTGACGGTGAAAATCTTATTTTTACATTTGTTATGAACATTTTGCGTCCATGCAAACAAGGCATCGTTTCTAACTAGGAACACCAGGCAACTGAACAAGGGCCCCAGATGCCCACGGGCTACAAAAGTTCTTGCAACTGGTTTTGTTAATTTCAATAAACAGCTAGTCCAGTAATGTTGTAGCAAAGGAATATAATGTGGGCATATAATGGAGCTGCCATGTATAGTCTGTTGTGTGGTGAACTTGGAGTGCAGTGCTTACAGGGTGTGTGGTCAATAGTTCGCAGTTTTTCGCAGAGCCTCGTAATCCGGCCGTGCTTACAAATATGTTCCGATATGTTTTCTTGTTATGTTGATATGAATGGAATTAAGTTTCTTATAAAACATATTTGCTAAAGCAGATTTGTTGTGTGTGCATATAGTGTATAGTGGACACACACTGGCAATGGGTGGCTTATGGTAGAAACATGTATGATGTTTCTTTTCTCTTTCCACTTTTCTGCTCTTTTGCAATTACTTTTTTGTTTCTGTAAAAATATCTTTGCAGAGTTTGCTTTTTATTATTATTTTTGTGTGATTTCCTGCACCAAAATCATACAAACGTATTTCCTTCGGATGACTGTAAAAGCTTTTTTGGAGAGGCAGATGAGTTAACAGAAATTCTAAACTATGACACGCTATAAAGATCATGTTTTGAAATCACATTAATCACATTTTCAGTGGCTAAAAGGTGTGGTGTCCTTCACCTTTCTGCACCTACACACTCAGACTCAGTCTGCTTCTGTTTTTAGTTTCTCTGTCTCCGTGTTTTACTTCTCTCTCGCTTCCTCTCATTCTGACTGAGTCATATGAGCTTATGAAAGCCTGCAGACAGCGTTCTGTCGAGACCCAAATCAATTCATTTTTGCACACCAACACACTTGTCATGCGCTTTGTGTTTGTGTTCTTAGCCTTGAGATGACTCCTTCTCTCCCCACCAGTTTCTTCTCCCTCCTCTTTTTTTCTCTGCTGCTGCTGAGGAATAAAAGGGCCAGAGTTCCTCCTCCTGTCCTTCAGCTCCCTCATATCTCCTGCTTCATCTTCACTATCCTTGAAATGAGTTGTTTTTGTGGTTGATGAGTCAAGAGTATCAGTCACCACCACTTCTACAGGGGATAAAAAAACACAGCCACCTACCATGCCTTTAATTTTTTTCCTCTCTGAATGACAGTCATCACTCTATATGCCTCTTTTTTGCAGACCCTCTTTGTGTGCAGCAAGGTGGAGTGTTTTAAGAGGAAATGTAGCATTTGATTGGGCTCTTACTGGCTTGTTATTCGCAGCCTTTGAGCACCATTGTTGTTTTCTCCTAGTTAAGTAAGCTGCCTGGCCTCATCTGCACCAGCTCAACTCGGAGGAGCTGCAATAGCCCCCTTGCCGGCTTCACTGTTGTGCTGGAGCGAACGGTAATTTCACCAGTGTCAGGGAAACTGTGGCCCCTCTCCTCCCTCGGTGTGTTTATTTTAAATTAGCAACGGTGTTGTTTGAAAAGGATCTCGACCATTTGGGGCAATGAGCCCACTCTGATGCCCTAGTGGCGACCCAGAGGCACTTTTTCCTTTTTTCGTGAAATAGCAGTTTGGATTTAAATTAGTTTGTTAGTCCCACTGAGAGGCAGGAAAAGTTCCACCGCTGCAGCAAGAACTTCACAACTCCAACAACATGTTTCCTTCTTTTGGTTTTGTTTGGATCCTCATTAGCTGACATTGCAGCAACTGCTAGCCCAAAAATGAACATCAACAACAAAAAGACATAAACAGCACAACATGGTAGTATTAACTGACAGCAGAAATTTGGCAAGTTCAATTTATGGAGGATATAAGGGTGTGGAACACAAGACTGAGCCTTGTTAAATTAAAATGGGTTAGTCTGTGTAGTTTTTCTTAATATGTAGAGCCGGTTGCACCAACCTCACTACTGACTCATACCGTGCAAAGACGGCGTGTCATTTTACACGCGAATGTCATCAAGAAAAGAATGTCTGGGTGGATGGATAGGTCAAACAAACACAGGACTTTCTCCCAGGCACTTAATTTAGGCACCTGATGTCGAGCCTCGAAGTAGTCAAGTCAAGTCTCATTTTTGTGATCTAACTTAAGTCCAGGTTTCAAGTCCACAGTTCCAGTCCAGTACAGTTAGTGTGTTTTTTGGGTTCTTCACATCAGCTCAATTCATCAGTCTCTGCTGAAAGCTGTAACTTAATTTGTGAAGGTATCTAAAATTATCCTATTTTCTTTATTTTACCAGCATGTCCAGTTTGTTGTAATATATTGTTTTAAAATGGCAGGCATTGGATTTGGACAGCTATGAATAAATTAATGATTAATTAGAAGACGTCAAAGATAAAACCCAAGGCTTAACGCTCGCTCAGAGCTATGGCTGGAATACAGTTTTGCACGTCAAACCAGAAAGTGGATATCTGTGGATCAATGTAATCCCCTTATTTTATTATTGTAATCATAAGGCATCACATGACGCAAGTCCTGTTTGAGAGGCTTCTTCAGCCTGACAAGGATAAAATTCCTCGAGCAAACACAAGTCATATTCTGAACATTTTTCGCATTAAAGAATATCATGATTCCAAATATATCCAAAATATCCATATTGCAAATACATTAAATGATCTCTTTAAGCCTCTATAGGCGAGTTAGAAGCCAAAACGTAATCAATCAAAGACAACAATTTGAGCATGAGTTCGTTTCCTTTAATAAGTTTCCTGACTTTTTGTTTTTCGCCCTAAAGCATTAAATTAAAGCATTAAATTGTATCACCTTTGAGCATCATGCAGAATCCATTTTGCAGTTTGACCCAGGTGTGTGCATTTAGGCTGTGTGTGTGTGTTTATTTTTTTTATTCTGACTAGGATGGTCTGGGGAATATTGTGGCACTACTGTTGGTTTAATGTGTTTGGAGTTAATAACCAGATGAGTGGATGAGCAGGGGAGGACGGGAGCCAGTGAGAAATGGAGCAATTTGGCATTTTGTGCTGAAAAAGAGATAGAGATAGAAGGAGAGATAAAGAGAGAATGAGACAAAGAGAGCCAGAGGGGTAAACAGAAAATGGTCCTTTTGCTAAAACACAACCTTAAGCGCCATGACAGGTTTGTTGCAGTGTGTGTCTGTGTTTTGGCAGGGGACGCGCTGTGTCATATATCTTAATGATACAGCCTGCCCACATGAGCTGCTGAGACACACACACACACACACACACACACACACAAAATAAGTTTAATGTCTTCATTAACAGGCTCTATCCTACATAAGAGCCTCTGTGCACAACTTTGCCTGGGAATCATTCAAATTACAACAAATAAGAATCTAAATCAAAAAATAAATGAACTGTGTGTC